ATTATATTATTTTATTAAAATAAATTATATTTTTGGCAATTATTTATTTATTCGTATGGCAATGAAACTTGACAATATTGAGATAAATATAATGGGGTACAAGAATGGAATCTGTATATGCCGACCGCCGCCGCAGTCGGCCGGCCGACCGTTGGGGTACGACAACCGAAAAGTACCATAATATTTTTTGAAAAATCACTTGTGTTAGTAAAAATGTATACGACATTAATTTTACAAAATCGAATCGATTTATTATTCCTACAATTTTTTCGTTCATAATGTCAGCTAATAAACTATTCTTTTAGTAAAATACAGTTTCTTTTTTTCACTGCTTCTACAATTCTTATTTTAATATAAATATCAATTTGTACGTTTTTTGAAATTTCTAGGAACTGATAAATATTTTGGTGTGCTGTGTAAAACATAGAATTAAGAGTACGTAACAGTGGAATTTGTTGTCTGGCCGTCTTACCAGTGCGTAATATAGCAACTTTACGCTCAGCAGAACACTTGYAGCTCCTTTAGWTTAAAWATTACAGTGAATCGACCTATTATGAAACTTGATGGTAAGAACATTATCTGTGTTTGTACGTTGKTTTTTTACGATAATTCAATTTTTAAGTGATTTCTGAGCATATAATATACAGTACATTAAAAATGCTCATAACTCACTTAAAAATTGAATTATCGTAAAAAACTAACGTACAAACACAGATAATGTTCTTACTATCAAGTTTCATAATAGGTCGATTCACTGAAATTTTTAAACTAAAGGAGCTACAAGTGTTCTGCTGAGCGTAAATTTGCCATATTACGCACTGGTAAGACGGAGACAACAAATACCACTGTTACGAACTCTTAAAATGAGAACGGAATGATTTGCAGTAATTTGTGGTTCGCATTGTCGATGCATTAAATTCTGACCAAATGACACTACCTACGATTAGCCCCTACTCCCTAGTACTCTGGACCAACTGGCCGTAGCCATTATACTCCAACAACGAGATACCATTGTCCTCCAATAAATAAAATAACAAAATAGTTAATACAAATAACTTATGCATAGCCAAAAAAAAATTTATTTGTCAGGTATTATGTTTAATACAAATAAATCAATAAACGTCGCTTTTTCAGACATATTTAAATTAAAATTCGATAGAAACACAAGAACTATAAACACATCCAACACTATGGACACTATATTCGACGTACAGTTCGGTAGGTACTAAAAATATAGTCTTATTGATGCGAGTATATCGTATATACATTCGTGTGTCTGTCTCACTCAATGGGGCAATCATAATAATCGTTAACAACTGATGCACAATTTAACATAGTATATAAGTATATACGTATATGCCCGTATGTATATGTACATTGTACGTATCTTTATTAGGCTTAATCGATAGCTGATATAGATGGCCGATACCAAAGTGTAATCATCAATCTCTATCTTTTTAAAACGAAACGTAATAATGCAACAACAATATTTGCTAAAATATTGGAGGAAAATAGACATAATTTAAGTCGAAAATAATGTGGAGGTAGATGGAAACCAAAATTTTTTTTGTGGAGTAAAACGGTATCTCGGWTTTGGAGCAAAACGGAACCGCCCGGCCGGTAGGGCATTATACGAATAATTTTTTATTTAGATAAAATTTTATTCGAATGAATTTTTCACAATTATTCGAATAATTATCTAGATAAAATTTTGCCCAACTATGGCGCCGATCTTTTGGTGAAATTTTCTTGGCATCTCAAAGTATTCAATAGAGTCTTAACACTCATAACTCTTGAAGCACTTGTAGATATGTATGACATATTTTTATCGAATTTTTAAAACTATATTGTGACGCCGCGGCGCCCGGAATATGCAATTTAGCTACACAACCGCCGTGATTCCATATTACGAGTATTATATTTTTATCCATTATTATAGTTATACCATGATTATTTATTTCAATTTAGATCTATGAGATTACTGGGCCTCGCTGAGACATAATCGTGTGGAGGCCCAGGGTTATCAACTATACATTACACATTTACATAAAAATTAAAATTAACAGATATTAACAATATATTTTGTGTTTGAAATTAATGTCCTAATTGTATATACGTACAGTAAAAGTAAAAACAAAAACAGATAAAATAAGTTATGGGTAAATTGGTACAGAATAATTTTATGATGATAATAATATAAGTATAAACATGGAAACAATTGGTAAAAATACTAACAATAAGATTCTGAATGACAATATGTGTGCGTGAACAGAGTGGTATATTTTTAATCATATTATAGTGACGTCACATTCATACATTAACCAGTGCTGTGTGATATGTTTCTTAAACCATATGTCAATGACATGTTTGCTAGATAAGTTTGTATTGAATTGAAAATCTAAATCCCTATGAAAT